AAGTCACCAGTAATCTCAGCCCTTTATTCCCCACCTGGAACGTGGACAGGAAAGGGGCAGTCGTAGGGGAGAAGTGGAGCCACCCAGGAGATGAACGAGCTCCAGCCAGCCTTGTGGGAGGCCACTGAGCAGGTAGACCTGGCTGGAACGGGACACGCCTGGTATCCCACTCTGGCCCTTGGGAGAAACAATTCACTTGGCCCCAAAGAGACACTGCCAGCGAGCCGACGCAGGCCCTCCTGCCCGGGCACGGAGCACGGAGCAAGGCCTGGATGGGGAGCAGGGCCGCTCTGGCATGTGGCTGGCTTCAGCAGGGGGCTGCCTTCCCCTTCCCTTCCGGGCAGGGGAAAGAAAACGAAGCTCGAGATTCCCCAGCCAGCTGCATTTTGAAAATTTTCCAGTAGGAAAGGGAAAAAAACAAAAAGGCCAAAGAGTTAAAAAAGTCTCCGGTAAGCCCTGGGCCGCGGGGTTGGAGCGGCACATTCCGACCCCCTGCCCCGGCTGGGGCTCGCTCCCCTCCCAGAGCCAGGCGGGGCACCGAGGGGCGCAGCGGGAGCCGGCCGCCAAGCAGAGTAGAAAGGAGCACCATCCAGTCTGTCACGTTTCATGTTTTAAAAAACCCAAACTCTGTGACTTCGCAGTGACCTGAGTCCTGTGGCTGCACCTGCTGGCCCAGGGTGGGGAGCCAACCCACCACAGTGGGGCGAATGCTGTGGGCACGTGACAAAACAGCCAGAGAGGACGAGCCACAGGAGCCCTGTCTGCTGTGCCCCCCACACCCACGCACGCTTTTCCGGGCCCTCCACCCTGCTGGCGCCCTCCGCCATTGGCCGCGGAACGTTCTCCACACGCAAGGCTGATGCTTGGGCCCTGCCCTGCCATCTGCCTCAGAAGCTCTCCCCCCCAGACTAGCACCTGCTCGTGGCCTCCAGCTTTCCCCCTCACCTTCTACAGCAAAGGCTTCCGTGTACCCAGATCCTCTGCCCGAGTAAATCGACGTCAGGGATTTCATCTCAGGAAATAGTTCAGACCGTGCATGAAGACTGCTATAAAGATGCTCATCACAGTGTGATTTAAAATGGTGAGAGGTGACCGACCATCAAAAGAACCAGCGTTAGGATAATGCGGTGGGCCTCAGCACTGACTGCAGATTGGGGGAACTTGATAAAAATCTCAGACACTTGCCTTTTTAAGAGCCCCACAGGTGATTCTGATCCACGCCAGGGTTGAGAACCACTGGGGTCACCTGATGGGATATGTGCTGCCATCATAAGTGATGATGTTTAAGGAGAGTTTTTATATCAGGTGAAAAAATGCTTACGACATACTAAAAGACAAAACCAAATAACTGGGAACTGGATTGCTTTGCCAGGAATATCTCAACTGTCTTTAAGTAAAAAACCAAAAACCAAAACCGAAATGAAACAAAAACAACCCCCAAACCCTAGAGCCTAGATAGAAACATGCTAACATGTTGCCTTAAGTCCAGATGATAGGATTATGGGTATTTTCTCATTTCGAGTTCTCTGTTACTTTAAGCTTTTTTTTTTTTTTTTTTTTTTTTTTTTTACCAAGAGCAGGTGCTATCTTTTTATAACCAGAGAAACAACTAAAAGACAAATGGCCCTGGGGAGGGCACCCTAACCTCTCAGCACCATGCTTACTGCCATCCAAAACAGGCTCACCCAAGGTACCATTCCCCACGCCACCCCCGTGTGGCCAGTGCCCACCTCCTCTCATCCCTTCTTGGGCTCACATGTGCTTTGCAGTCAATTATTTTCATTAATTCTCCAAACAATCTTGCATAGGAAGTATTGTTAGCCCATCTTTCAGGTTAAGGAGAAATGCCTAGAATTAAATCTGTGGTTTAAAAACCATCGTTACATGGTGATGATGCTTGGCCAGAAAACTGCAGGCCCTCTGGCTTCCCAGGAAAAAAAAAAGCTATTTGGGAGATGAATGGGACTGAAAGCATGACAAATCTGCCATATTTCATTGATTCTAAGACACAGATATCTTCACACTATAACATCTCTGAAATCTGGATGTGTCTTACAACTGATAGCATCCAACTGTGACTGGCAGCGCCCTTTCCCATTTCGTAATGGTACTTAGAGTAATGGTACATCTTATGACTGAATGGCAGCTTAGACTCAGTGAAATGTACCTTGTTTACAACCAAACCCATCATCCTATCCTCAAAATGCTACTTTTAATGACTATATAATATTCTAGCATATGGATATATTTCAATTTCTTTAACCAGTTTCCTATTGTGGATACTTAAGTCTGTTCCATGTTTTTACCATTATCAATACTGCTACCGGAGGGGCGCCTGGGTGGCTCAGTTGGTTAAAGCGACTGCCTTCGGCTCAGGTCATGATCCCGGGCCCGGGATCGAGTCCCGCATCGGGCTTCCTGCTCAGCGGGGAGTCGGCTTCTCCCTCTGACCCTCTTCCCTCTCGTGCTCTCTATCTCTCATTCTCCCTCTCTCTCAAATAAATAAAATAAAAAAATCTTAAAAAAAAAAAAATACTGCTACCGGGAACACCTTCGCATTAAGTTTTCACTTTTTCTACTTACGGGCATCATCACTTTCTCCTTGGTCCAAATCTTGGGAGTTATTTTGACATCTCTTGCCCCTCGTCTCCCAAATTTTATATCTTTGCAGGTTCATTTAGTCACTTCTTGTTCATGGTACCTCTTTCTGGTGTCACCACCAGAGGGCTCTCTTCTGAGTCTCCCAGACAGTCCCCTGGTCTCTGCTTCCAACTCCCCTTTCAGTCCATCATTGTATCACTGGTCAAACATGACTTCAGTCTTACCATATCTCTGCTCAAAAACTGACATTCCCTACAGGGTGAAGTTCACACTTCTAGCCTAGCATCCCAGGCTCTGTCAAATCTGGCTCCAAGCTCTCCTACCCTTTCCCTACCCAAACCCATGACTCCAGACAAAGTGGCCATGAGGGGTACTGCCTCCAAGCCTTTGCTCACTCAGTTAACTCCACACCCACCACATGAAGGAATGCTCTTTTTCCAAACCTAAGCCATCAGACGCAGGTCAAGTTTCACCTTCCCTATGAAACATTTTATGGCTCATTTGATCCTTATAACCATCTGGAGATGTAGAATGATAGGTATTCTTAGCCTCATTTCACAGGTGAAGAAACTGAAGTTTAAAGAGATTAAGTGGCTTGTTCAAGGTCGTACAGCTTAGAAGTGCAGAGCCCGGCTTTGAACTCCAGGGCTTCCGTGCTTAAACCCAGTGACTTTTAGAACCAAGTGCAAGTACAGTCATAAACTTCTTCTGAGGAGCAACTTGTGCCCAGATCATATATCCAGCAATCCCTACCAAGATTCAACAGTCTCTGGATTCTAGACACATATATGACAATAATGAGATCATTTTAAGAGTGGAAATACCTCATGTCTTTCAGTTCTCAGCAATGCAAGGGAAGGACTGGGCCAGTTATCCCAGTCTCCTTTTAGAGATGGAAAGACAACAAATTAGCACTAGACCTGACTGGTTTGGCTGGGCCCCAGGTCAGGACAAAGAATCAGGGCTGCCTCACTTGAAGATAAGCAGGACATGGGGAACTTGCTTTAATTAAGGGCTTTAGAGGACCTCAGGGAAGTAGTTCTAAGGAAGCAAAAAGAGAGTACATCCCTTCTGTTATGTGACCATGACATTGCCTGAAGCTGAGGTAGCTTAGAAAAAGTCAGGCCTAAGTGCTGGACGGGAGACAAGGAACAAGGAGGGTGGTGGCATTAGGCTGCTGCTTCCTGAGCCCCCCACTTGGCAGAGAGTATGCCCTGGGTGAAGGAACACAAGGTGTTTACTATTACTCTGGGTCTCATTTAGACACATGATGGAGTCATAGTAGCAAAAAAAAAAAAAAAATCTTAACAATGTAGAACTGTGGCTCATGGGGAAGCGTAAGCAAGAGTCACTGTCGGAGTTTGCACATGAAATGCACTGCCTGACATATAACTCACCTTTTGTCATATGATATAATAGAAATGCTGTGGGTTAAAACCAGAAACAAACAGCCCTGGCCCATAGGCAGTGTGACCTATGCTGGGTTCTCACACCCACTGCAACCAGGCTGGACGTGGCTACCGTCACCTGCTGGCTCAGGATGAAGGGAGCTCTGTGCTCTTGAGAGAAAAGGGCGGTGGGCAAGGTCGCCCTGCAGCGTTCCCTCCTACACATGGTGACCCAGGCCCCCCGGCCAAGTTCTCCATTCTCTGTGGCCAAGAGGACAGGAGTAGGCGGAGTAGAGGGTCATCAGATGAAAGCTTCTCACTGAAGCCGGGAAAGCTGGTACTTTGTTTTTAGGGTTGACGTGATACCTTCGTATCTTCATATAACTTCCCACCTCACAGGGCAGGCAGGGGAATGGATGAGGCTACTGAGGCTCAGGAAGGCTGAAGGGCCACAGAGGGGGATAACATTATTCCCCAGTTCGTGGCACACCGTGTAGTCAATACACCAAGAGCACTTCGGGACCACCTGAGAAGTGAAACCCTGGGACACGTTGCTTTTTCAAGTGTGGAGTAGAGGCCCCTTTAGAGGAAAAGGGCTTTGAGACACAGAGGGAAGGCATCGGCTTTGGGACTATTCAGCTCTTCCGCTGGTTAGCAAGTCATGGCTCTTCTGAGCCTCAGTTTCCCCATTTGTCAAGTGGAAAGGATCCTCGGAGAGCAGGTGTGTGAGAGGTCTGGGGACTGTCTTAACACGCAGCTGGTGCTACTGTCCAGCGAGGGGACGGGTCTTAATGTGCACAGGAACAGTGAGTGCTTCACACATAGTGGCATGGCTTCCTCACACTAAGAGGAAGGGCCAAGGGAGGGCAGCCCCCTGGCGCCTCACAACACAGACACACAACACCTTCTGGGGAAATTCAACCACCAGATAAAGACCTGATTTCCTGTGACCCCTGAGGCACATTTCTCAGCCCTGACCAAACAATTTATAAATGCCAAGAAGCTACTCACCGGCTCAATTTTCAGAGCATTTCGGTAGCTGCCGAAGAAAGCAGCCTGGGCCTTGAGGAAGGCCCTGGCCACACCGTCGCCGGTGGCTGTGGACACCTTCTTCAGCCGGTTCTTCAGTGAAGAGATCTGGTGACAGAGAGAAAGGACACACGGGTTGAGGGCAGGGTGGACAGATGGCTGGCTAAGCCCAATACATACAGAGCTCTAGAAATTCCCTGGAAGGGGGATGGATTTAATACCTCAGCTTCTGGAGAACAAAACTGCATTCAGTATTAGGACAGGTTTATGAAACTGAACAGAGCGTATAGAATAAGAGCAAACACAAAGCTACTTTGAGTAGTTCCAGCGTGCCAGGTATGTGCGTTCACATACATTTTCTAATTTAATTCTTTCCACAGTCTTGCAAGGAAGGGATCGGCGTTCCTGTCTTACAAGGGTGAAACAATCCCAGAGAGAGGAACAAACCCAAGAAGTGGCCAATTGGAACATGAATTGAAAGCCTAATAATCTAAGCCCAAAAGACACACATTTTTTTTAGTTCCAATTCTACTCCCTCTTCAAATTACTTAAAAATATTGGAAATGAATGGCTTGTTTATAACATATATACCTCATACCTCATACTCGTTATACATTAAATATATATAGTAAACACATGTGATATAGATTTATTAAACATATTATAAATTAAATGTTTATTAACTATAAGGTAAACAGATATATAAATATATATTCTTATATCCTTCATTCTCTAAAGGAATCGTGGCAGTTTATAGATATGTACTCAAGAGATTTAGAAAAATAGGCAAGAAAGCCATGGCACTGGGAAAAGCAGCCAGAAATATTTCGTGTATCAATGTAAGCTATAAGGTCTTACATGGTGGCTACAACTGGCCTGCAAATTTGACTTAAGAGCCTGCTAGTGGTCAAAGCAAAAAGAGAAACTCAAGTTGTGAGATTCTTTGGGTCCATGTAGTACAAACAAGCCACCTGCACAAATGAAAACACATTTTCCTAAAAGTGAGAACTCAAAGAGATTTCTCCTATGAATCCTCAGCGTAGGAAATCCTCACGTGTGACATGATGGCTCTTGCCCTCAACATCAGAGACAACATCAAGCTTCCTGGTCTGTTTCTAACATGCTTTTCATTCATCTCAGGATGCCGCACTGCACAACTTCTGGGCACACCATTCATACTGCGTTTGTTTCACGTGAAAAGTACCCCTGGAACCTGGCAATGTGGTAGCCTCGAGTCAATGGTGATCCAACGATGGGCAAAACCAGACCTGGGCCCTGCCCACCTGAAGCTTACATTCTGGTGAGGAAAGTATCAAATGACTGTGACATAGCCACCGTGATGAGTCTATGCTAGAGCTCACTGAGGAAGTCAACAAGGCTTCCTGGAGGGAATCAGGCTTGAACGGAAATCTGGAGGATGAGCTGAAGTAGAACCTGGCAAAGAGGGGAAGGAACAGTGTCCCAGGCACAGGGGAAAAAAGCCTGTGGTGAGAAGGAGTTCGGAGAACAGAAAGGACTATGGCTCCAGGGGAGGGAATGATGGAGAACATGGCCTAAAACGAGGCTAGCGGGAAAGGCAGGGGTCAGAAGTGCTGTGAGTACGGTCAGTTTTTTTTCCCCTTCGTCTTAGGGAAAATGTAAACCAAACAACTGTTTTTAAGCATGCAGGTGTCATATTAAGAGCACATTTCAGGAATCTGTATGGGCTGACATTATTTAAGGATAAAATAGAAAAATTAGATTCAGGTGGTCCATGAATCACCTACAAAATTTTTTGAGCCAGAGAGAGAGAACACAGAGGGAGAGTGAGAAGGAAAAGCAGACTCCCTGCTGAGCAGAGAGCCTGACACAGGGCTCGATCCCAGCACTGCGAGATCATGACCTGAACTGAAGCCAGACGCCCAACCAACTGGGCCACCCAGGCGCCGGCCACCTACAAAATTTTAATATGAATGAGTGATGATCATTTTTCTGGGCATAGGCTCCACAGTTTTCCTCAGATCCATAAACGTACCCGTGAACCTAAAAATACTAAGGATTGCTGGTCTGGGATAGATTACATAGACTTTAAAAATGCTTCTTGGGGGCACCTGGTGGCTCAGTCAGTTGAGTGTCTGACTCTTGGTTTCAGCTCAGGTCGTGATCTCTTGGGTCATGAGGTCAAGCCCTGTGTCAGGCTCTGCTTTAAGAGTCTCCCTCTGCCCCTTCTCCTGCTCGCATATGCTCTCTCAAATAAATCAGTCTTAAAATAGAAATGCTCCATGGGTTTTATTTCTTATTAATAAGCTTCTGATAAGGGGTTTTTATTTTTTTTTAAATTTTATTTATTTGAGAGAGAGAGCACGAGCAGGGAGGAGGGGCAGAGGGAGAGGGAGAAGCGGACTCCCTGCTGAGCAGGGAGCCCAGTGCAGGACTCAATCCCAGGACCCCAGGATCAGGACCTGAGCCAAAGGTAGATGCTTAATTACTGAGCCATCCGGGCACCCCAGGGATTTTTAAATAGCTTATTAAAATATATTTTATATACCATAAAATTCACTCATTTGAAGTATACAGTTTGGCGGTTTTTAATATAATGACAAGGTTGTAGAACTATTATCCAGGCCCTATTTTTATCACCCCAAAAAGAAACCCATCTTATTGTCAGTTACTTCTCATTCCCCACCAATCTTCCTCCCCACCTCCTGCACACTGTCCTAAATAACCATTAATCCACCTTCTGTCTCTATGGTTTACCTATTTTGGACATTTCATATAAATGGAATCATACAATAAGAGGTCTTTTGTGACTGGCTTCTTCCACTTAGCATAATGCTCATTATAAACAAGGTTACTCCATGTTGTGGTGCTTATCAGTACTTCATTCTTTTTCACAGCTGAATAATATTCCATTGTATGGCTATAGCACATCTTATTTACCCTACATCAGTATCTAGTTGACAGGCGTGGGTTGTTTCCACATTTGGGCTATTATGAATAATGCTGCTATGAACATTCATGTAGAAACTTTTATGTGGAGACAGCAGAGATTTTGAGGCCAGAAACTGAACGGTGAAAATCCTGTTGCCGGAGCTTATAAAGATAAGCTGGAAGGACATATGAAGTCATGGGGCACAGTGCTGGGCACCTAGTAAGTCACCACGAAGTGTTTACTGAGAGAACACTTCCTGTGCTGTTGCTAAGGGGCTATACTATATGCACAGTGAACTGAGTGAGGGTAGGGCTAAGGCTGATGTCCTTCTCTGGGATGTCAGAAGTGATGGGAATATGCAGAGAGGGGGTGGCTACCCTCTCTGGGCTTGGAGGTGGGCCAAGGAAAACCATCCTTGCTCTGGAAGCAGTGGGTGTCAGTATCCCATTGACCGTGACTTCCCCATTCAGGGACACATGGCCCTGACACAGTGCCACAGTGGTGAGAGCCCATGAAGAGCATGCAGGCCACTCAGTAGCCGGGCAGACTCTGCCATGGACTTGCAACTTGAAATAGCAACGTGAAAACAAAACAGAACATGCTTTATTAAAATGTGAAAAATATTGCCCACTTCCCACCCTCTGAAGAATAGAAATCCTGCCTCTCCCAGGGACAAGGGTGACATTTCCATCCTTGGAACTGGTGCAAGCCGCTGTCACTCTTCTAGATCCTCAAAGGCCTTGGGCCACCTGTGCTGCAGATGATTCCTCACTTAACCTTCCCTGGCCTTTCCCTTTCATTCGGGAGGTGTTTAATTACCTTGGATTCACAACGCTGCACTTCAGGTGAGCTTCTCCTAATGGCCTCATTATCATTTTACACAAAGAAGTCGTTGCTGATTGTAACTGAGCAAATATGAGTGTGTGCCTTCCTGCCCGCCCCAGCTGGTTTGAAACCAGCCAAGTGGTCCTGGGCTCTTGGTGCCCCTGTGACCACTTAGGCCAAGACTTCTGAAGACCTCTCCTCACCCTGCAACGTGGAGAAGCTTTTGTCAGCACTTCAAACTTTGAAACTTCAAGTATATGCGCATCTGATAACTGGCGACAGAATTTCGTCCTTTAAATAAAAGTGAGGGACGAAAATCGGAGGCTTAAAATGAACCGCAGTCATACATCTAAAACTGAACTTGCCAGTACTCATGGGGGTTCTGGTCAAATCATTAACATTGGGGTTCATCATGCATAATGTGGGGGTGACGGAAATGCTGATGAGGATGGCTTCCTCCTTTAATGAGGTATCAGGAGGAAGACAGAAAACAAGGGCAAGTGGATGCTACATCGAATGCACCAGCCTCTCCTGAACGCTCCCCGCCCCCCGCCATGTCCCATCGTGGCCACTGCAGCATCACCCAGCTCATCTCCTAGGCCAGATTCGGAGGTCAGATTCCATAATCCTCCTTCCCTACCCACCACCATGCTCCACATCTTATCAGCACCACCCCAAATACGTCTCAAATCCACCCTCTCCTCTCAGTGCCTGTGACCATGGCACTGTGCCATGCAGCTCCATCCCGCCTCTCTGGCCCAGATTGGTGGAGTAGCTTCCCAGATAGGCTCTCTTCAGTGTCCCCTCAGTGCCACCCACCCATAGCTGTTCCAGGAAGCTCAGAAACATATGAATCTGGTCATTTCAATCCCTCCATCAAAATCCTTCAATGCCCCCACCCTTGGCCATTACCACCTGCAGAAAAACATCCCAACTTCTCAGAGCAATTAGTGACGCTCTGCTCAACTGGCCTCACTTCCCTCAGCCCCACCTAACGGATGTTGGACTGAGAGCGAATTACTATTTAGAAGCATACACTATTCTCCAGCCCATACACAGGCCGATAACTCACACAGCCTTGTCTCTTGTCCCTTCCTGTTCTATTTGTGGAAGATCTATTCACCTTTCAAAAGACCATCCAAGTGCCCATCAATGGGGGCCAATTAAGTCAATTATACCACATCCTCACAATGAAATATTGCATAGCTGCTAAAAAGTATCTGACGGTACTTGAACTGACATGAAAAGATGTCCATTAAATACTGCCAAATGGGAGGAAAAATGCAAGTTGCAGAGCTATACAGCATGAATCATTTAAAAACTTATATATATTACATATATATATTTATATATGTAGTAAAAATCTAAAATG